CAGCATTGCTCCAAGTTCCTTGATAGTGATGCGCCTATTCTCACGAATAAGTGCGTCTGCACAATCAATGTTTGGCTTGGTGACGGATGTTCGCAGCCTACGATCATGCGGTTCATTCTCTATGTGCTCGCTGCCCTCTCTGAAGCACTTACACTACTCAAACACACGGGTCCGTGAGAGACACTCTTCCCCATATTGTTGTTGGAGTCTGTGGTGAATTTCAGCAGACGGGATGTTTTCTCCAACGAATTTGATCACAATGCGTTGTTCCATGCTCCGCGGTACCTTCTGTTCACTCATCACTCTAGCAACTTCCAGACAGAACTGAACAGATTCTAACCCTAACAGGAGGGAGGGTGGAGGTTGTGGCTTCACTCTCTCAAGGTCGCACAGCTGCTGCTTAGTGCGGCTTGTTTACAAAAAAATCAGTCCCGGTCATATTTGAACCACCTAGTATTTCAGACTGTGTTTCTGGAATCCTGAGGTTGAATTCTTTATGGAAGCCCTTCTTTGGTTCATTTGTAGAGGGATGTCATTACTGCCTGTAAGCTCAGCTGTGTTTCTTCAATCTTTTTGTTGAGTCCATCATGGAGGCCCTGGGCTCGTTGGTCAACCAGGATGTCCATGCAAATTTTTATGGTCTTTTCCAATCTGGACTGATTGGAGTTTAAACAGCCTCCATCCTTTCTTGGCCAGCCGTCACTGTGGCTCTTACTTCTTTGTGGCCGCTTGTTATCACAGACTCCATCCTTTCTTGGCCAGCGGTCACTGTGGCTTTTACTTCTTTGTGGCCGCTTGTTATCACAGCCTCCATCCTTTCTTGGCCAGCTGTCACTGTGGCTTTTACTTCTTTGTGGCCGCTTGTTATCACAGCCTCCATCCTTTCTTGGCCAGCTGTCACTGTGGTTTTTACTTCTTTGTGGCCGCTTGTTATCACAGCCTCCATCCTTTCTTGGCCAGCCGTCACTGTGGCTTTTACTTCTTTGTGGACGCTTGTTATCACAGCCTCCATTCTTTCTTGAACAGCTTTCATGGCAGTCTCCATCTTCTCGTGGTTTCTTTCTCTTCTCGGTTGGTGTTGAGCTTGGCTTCCATCCTCACCACTATGGTCAACAGAAATTTCAAGTACACCGTGATTATCCATCATGATGGTTCCAGCTGAATGATGCACAATTCAGTCAGTCCAGTAATTCACATCACGTGTTAGTGACTAGATGTAGGGTTTGGATTGATAACTGGATTTGTTGAATGCTTATGACTTGTAACTATAAATAATTATAGCACTTTCACTAATCTAAGCACTCTACAAATAACTACAGCGCACACTAATTGCTCTCAGTCTGCTGTGTCTTCCATTATTTTTGTTCAGTTAATCAAGACTGAATTCTGTCAGATTTTAGTAAAATTCCTCAGTATAAACTGTCATGAAAATTCCATTTCTTAAGAGCTGAATCACTTCATGTGGACAGACAGACAGACAGACAGACAGACATGACAAAGCTAATAAGTGGTTTTCACAATTTTTGCAAATGAACTTAAAAATTTACGTGTATTCTGATTGTGGTGTTTGAACAACCCATGACGCAGTGTATGTACATAAGTATGAGTGTGATCGGAACTAATTTATATTCTGTTACCCAAGTTCAGTAAATTTCGCTGTATTTTCCTTGCATGTATGCATGTGGATTGAATTATGGGAAGAATGAGGGTGGACCTGCGAGTATGCAGCAGATTATGAGAGCAGAATAGAAGTGATCTGTACTTGTGGGCATGCCGAAAATAGTGGGTGGGGCGTCATCTCATAAAGGGTGGCTCGTAATTAGCAATCAGCAGTGAAAAGAAGAGGTTATGTAAGTTTAAGAAAATCTTTAACTCCTGGTTCAAATAATGCCAAAGACAATGTAGATGATGAATTATTCTGCACTCTTATCATATGCTCATAATAATCGCTTCAAAGAAGAAGAAATATTGATGTACTCCCATTATTTATACTTAGTGCTGTGTTGTAGTATACGTAATTGGGCATTATGGGACAGACTTGTAGTTATGTATTTGAACCGTTTTTTAATATTGCGAGTATCCTTTACAACGAGCATTTTTATGAACTTTGTAAATTTTCACAATTCCATGTACTTGGTGTTGGGCAGATTTTTATTTTATGTCCATTGTACAGTAATATTATATGGTTGTAGAGGTACCACATTAACTGATTCTCTTATATCATTGAACCCATAGATAAAAGGCAAAAAGTTACCAGTGGACCCATACCCGAACCAGATCAACCAATTTTACATTACTTCATCCTGTTTCTGTAACATTTTAAGGTACCTGACTTCTGTCATGGCCAGGGAAATGGCTTTTCTCTGGCTTAGTGTGGTTTTTCTGTGTTTCCAAGTGGACGCTAACATAGTAATCTATAAAGTGTATGTGGCCACTTCCAAATCCCTCATTATTCAATGTTCATTATCACTATATACAAAGCCTGATAGGTGCCACCATTTTGGAGGAAAAAACTGGCACAGTCTTCAGGGTAGCTTCTCTGAATATGGAGTTAGCATGTTCCTCCAAACTGTCAGTACGTGTCTACCAGACTGTATAGTGTAACATCTCAGAAGACCATAATCTTAATATTCACCTCTGTGAGGACCTGAGATCTTATGCATACTCATACGTGCATACTTGTGCCCACATGAACACACACTCACAGGTAAATATTGTTAAACGTTTATGAACTTTACATATGACATCATTCAATAACTTGAAGGTCTGTCAATCAGTGTTATCTTTCATACTTTACCTACTAAGTCTCTGATAGGTTGTTCCAACAGAAATATTGAAAATTTACTTTTTGTGTCTCCCTGATGATACTAGGTGAAGTATGTAAGTAATGATATTCCACGTTACAAATTTCTCTATTTCCCAGGTAATTCACCTGGGGCTCAAGCCCATACACATAATTCGTATAGGTTTTAATTATCAACTTTTACAGAGCTCTGTAAATTGTTTAACTGCATCTGTGTTGCAACACTATGATAACCAGGAAATCAGTTAATTCTTTGAAATAAGTTCAGTGAAATTTTATTGTAGCAACACTAGCACACTTCAGCAGTTCATTCATTAAAATTAAATTTTATTTCTCTGAGTTCAAATATGGTAACAAGTACTACTTTTTTGTAGGCTGCATCCATTATGTAAAAAGTCCAAATATTTGGATGTATAGAACTCTTGTGTATGGAGTTTTACTATTACTGGTTTCTTAAATTTACTGTACAGTTCTTTTTATGAACTCAAAGCATTAATTCTGTCATACATATAGTGTCATGGTTATGTTTTCATTTGTTATCTGTGCTCTTGCCAGGTGTAGGAGATGTTGACTCAGGACAGGGGCTTAAGCTGCCTCCCTTGAAACTCCAAGATGGTAAAGGATTTGTTGTTCGCATCAGTGGTGGAATTGGATTACACAGAAATAGATGCTTGGAAGTAGAGAATGGGGCATATGGGAGTTCATTTGGCTCACTTACAAAGGTCCGAATGTTTTCTGATGGCCACAGTGCAGGGGATATGCCTGGGTGGGAAGCTGTACTGGGCTATCCAGTATGTGGTTCTGTGGCAAATAGTCAGCTTGTTGCTATAGCCTGTGAAGATGCCACATTGCACCTACTTCAGACTGACACAGGTGTGATATTTGTATACTGTTCTTATTGTCATGTTTAGATGTTTTTTGCAGATTGATTTTTCTCATGTGAAAGTGGCATTTTTAAGTCACCATACACATATGCACATACAAATAATATAAGCTGAAAGTCAGTATAATAAAGAATTTTTTAGCTTAGTATATGTCAATTTAAATGGAAAGCTATCATCTATGTGCTTTCCATATGTGACTTGAAATGTTTATAATACATACAAGCTACTGAAACTATATATATTTTTTACTTCATGGTCATAAAGTGGTAAAATCTCATTTTCATGCAGAAGTGTAGCTATTAATAACTGAAGTAATCCTTTCATAATTGGGAGTCATGTATTGTGCATCTGTGTTATGGGTCAAAAAGAAAGTTCTGGAAGCCAGTATGAAGATTAAGAGCACAGCTCATTATACCGTTGAAAATGTTGCATTTTTCCACCTATCTAATAGAGAAGTCGAATAATAAATGGACAAAATATAGGCCTGCAGAATGACTTCTTTTCTTTTACCATCTGACACTTCGAAATTGTTACAGCAGCATGGAATTCTCACAGGCCTTATTAACTACACAGAATTTTTTAAGCTGTGTCTTGTTTAACTGGTAGTTGAAGATGATACACATGAAGAATTAGAAAGTGATTCTAGTTGAACATTTTATTCCTCAGTGATTTTTGCATTGATGTGCAGAGAAAGTATATCTCAGGCTTTTCTATATGTTTTACACTGATCAAAGGCATACTTACTGGCTTACCTGCCAATTTAATGAAGCAGAAGGTGCAAGTTATGAGGGCCATACTGAAAGTCATGAGCAACAATATTTTGTAAAGTAACATGCTTTATTATTGACAAACCAAATGCACCACCTCACTCTACAGACCTTTCTTTATTTTTCCACATAATTGCTACTTCTTTGTACACATTTATCCCAGCGTTCTGGAAGTTTGAAAATTCCCTTTCTGTAAAATTCCGTCCCAGCCATCCGAAGACACTGACATGCTGCTTTCTGAATTGTCTCCCTTGTCTTAAAACGTTATTCACGCAGCTGATCCTTCACAAATCCAAAAAGATGGTAGTCGAAGGATGCCAGATCAGGGATATAGGAGGGGTTTGGAAGAACTTCCCACCCCATCTTTGCAATTGCTTCCAATGTGAGGTGAGCGGCATGGGGGCGAGCATTGTCATGCAGGATGATGTTTTGTCCCAGACGTTTATCATGCAATGCACAACGGAGCTTGTGCAGCGTCTGGATATAACGAGCAGCTTGATGGTTTGCTCAGGTTACAGGAATTCGGCCAGAATAAATCTCTCTGCATCCCAGAGACTGTGCCCATCACCTTTGCAGCTGATGACACTGTCTTTGCCTTCTTTTTTGATGGAGAATGCAAATGGTGCCATTCCATACTCTGCCGTTTTGTTTCAGGCTCAAAATGGTGAAACCAGCTTTCGTCACCTGTCACAATATAGAGCAAAAAATCATCACCTTTGTGTCGATATCTCTACAGCAGTTCTGAGGTGATGGCTTTTCGCTGATCTTTGTGGTCTTTGATCAATAACTGCGGGACCTAACGAGCACAAACTTTCCTATAGCCCAAGCTTTCAATCATCTCCTGTACTGCACTGTGCCCTATTCCAAGTATTTGGACTATGTGTCCTCAGTCACACGTCTGTCATCTTGAATGATCACATCCACTCTTTCCTTGTTTCGTTCAGTTGAGGCTGTTCGAGGACGACCGCTCCGAGGCTCATCTTCGATGTTGGTGTTCCCATCTTTAAAATGTTTCACCCATCTTTGAACACTGCTCACACCCATGCACACACTTCCATAAGCACGCTGAAGTCTCTGGTGAATTTCTGCAGCAGCGATTTCCTCTTCCACAAGAAATTTGATGACAGCATGCTGGCGAAACGACATATGGTTGTCGGCCATTTTGTTAGGAGTGATACTGGTCACATGATGCAAGCTATTGACGTCACAAGACACTCAAGGTTAACACAACAGCTGGTTCCACCTACCACCATACTCTCTTTTGTCTGCTATTCCCAGGTTGCATGCAAAAAAAGTTGCTCATGACTTTCGGTATGACCTACGTAAATGTGCAGAGTGATGGAAATGTTGTGAATCTGTCTGTACAATAGAAGTTATCTATCAAGGAGTGGAAACAGTAACAAGATGGATGTAAATTGCATGTGGTCAGTACTTAGTACTGATCAGTAATTTCAGCACTGGATTGAGTATTGGCCAAAACTCTTGCATGCATGAAATAAGTTGAGAAATGTATCCATACTCCTACATTCCTTAATTCTGCAAGAATTCTTTCATCTGGTTAGTGCTCTTACACTATAAATTGAATTATAATGGCAGTTACATCTAAAGGACTGTAGGTCTTCTGCTATATTTCATTCAGTGGATGTATTTTATTACAGGTCTAGATTGAAAATTCATTGCAGTTGAAAATATTGAATGTAAATAGAAAAAAGTTCTGTACTTGATAATGAGAATTGAAATTACGTATTTTAAGCTTAATCAGAACCCTTCAGAGGGTGTATTAAAATCATTCTTTCCATCTTTTTGTTTGTCTCTGTCTGTATGCACAGAACAATTCTAACACTGCTGAATAGGTTTCATGAATTTTGGTGCAGGGGAGTCTCACTAAAATTTGTCATAAAATTCCAGTTTGGTTAAAGGTCAGACAAAAATAACATACTTAAGAAACCTATTTGCATTTCTGCACATACATCAGACGTAACTCCTGAAATGTTTATTGGGTTTAAAAAAAGAAATATTTGAACCAAAGTTGTGGAGGAGAATAAACAAATTGGATGCACAGTACACTTTTCTGATAAACCTTATCTGTTTTGAGGTAATTAAACAAAAATTGTCATGTTGTACATACACTTCCTAACTTATATATTCAGTAATCAACAGTATGTACTCGTATGTATTTTTTGTATATAACAACATTTTTTTTCATTGCTTGTTTTGTTAACAGTTCATCAGAGGTTACTTTCTGAATAGCCTCATACATTTAATTAAAATGTAATTTTATACAAGAGCTAAAAATATTTGAGCTTATTGCGCTAAGTGTTGGATGGATGTTAGCGTGTGATATATAATTTATTTTGTTGCCTGCGCCTATTAAGTGTACAGTGTGTACTACTCTTGTTTTCCCATTCATTTAACAATGACTGTGTGATAGAAAACTTAATAGCAGTTAAAGAGGACACCTTTCAGGACATATCATATTTAGATGATGTTACAGCAGTCACAGCATTGCAATAATGCAATAGCATATGTGAGATCATAAATGTGAATTTATTTTATCAGATGTATCTCATACATTGTTTTATAATATTTGAAGCAGAGGTAATAAATATCAGAAAATATTACTGTTAAAGACAACTTCAGTGCATGTGGCTCATTTATGTCATCAGAACTTTCACATCAGAATTTCCAAGTAAAATATTAGACATACAAACTTGAAGTTTTATATGGAAATCTCTCATAATTTTGTCATATCATTTTGTTGTGCATGTCTTTCTTCTCTTATGAAATTTATATTTTACACATGTTTAGGTCAGCGACCTCTTCCTCCACTGGTTTTGTCATCACCAGCTTCAAGACTGGCCCTTAATGCATCACAGCAAGTAATGGCTGTCACATGTCGTGGTAATGTTTCTGTTTGGGACATCTTGAAAACCAAGGCACTGGTCCGTAATGAGAGTTTGCTGCCAGTCATGCAAGCTGAACCAGGTAAACTGTGATAGGTTAAGATATAAATACCATATTTTATGGAGTATAAGATATTTTCTTCCATGGAAATGCTGCCCAAATTTTATATGTGTCTCGCAGTCCAAAGGTATGGTAGGTTCTTTCTTAAAGTTTGTTCTCAATTTTGAAGGTGTCTTATAGTCCTGAAAATATGAAATATGTATAATAATCAAAGCTAATGATGTTTACTTGTAGGATTTTAGCAATGAACTGGAGTTTAAAACAATTAGAATTTTTAAACCAAATTTGAATTATAAAATAAGAAACTGAGATTTTTTCTTGTCAGTAATAACAATCAAATTCCCAAGAAGGCGCAGAACTTATATCTTATGTTCTTAAAACTCATGTTTCATACATTTTAATTTTTCCTTATTGTAAAAGCCAGTTTATGCATGTTTGCCTAACAGGCTGCACTGCGCAAGTGCTAAAGTGAGACCAGAGCTGTTCAAGCTCCTGATGAGCAGCAGCTACTTATCTTATTATTATGCATTTATTATTGTGGTCATACATTTGTGTTGACATTTAAAGCTTATTGCTGTGACTAAACTGCACAGAACCAATAAACAATGAAAATAACAGGTGATGACTCTAGTTTGTTGAGGAAAACTCATGGGTTGCTTTGAACAAACCTGTCGGTGATCAAATACATCTATGTAAAGATTCTGATGATGAAAAGTGCACTTTGTAAGAAGGTTCTTTCAGTCAGTGGCTTGTGTAAACAAAATCTTGCTACCCACACTTGGTAGCTTTGCTTCTTAAATAGCTGGGTGCAAAACAGTACTCTTTCTAAATTCTTTCATTCTGAGAAAACAGCATGAAATGGTGTGTATTGCCTATTGATTTTGCTTTGCCAGCAATAACTGTTTTCAGGATTGGCAATAGATATTTTTGTCTATTTTTTTATATAATGAATTTGCATGTGAGTTTGTGAGCCATGTTTTCTACTTAGATGGCTCAGGGGTTGCCCCTTCCAGCTTACTCTACTCCCTTCCATCCCACCTGTCCTGAGGTATCTGTGCTGTGACTCGTTTACCATTATCCCATCATTTTGTGTACCATATGATTTCCCCTTCCTCCTTTGTTTTGAAAGAAGACCTTGGTTGGTGTCATTAGAGAAGAGATTTGCTTTCCAGCAGTTTGGCGAAGTAGGTTGCTAAATTCTGTTTAGATCTGGAATTGTGTTTGGACTCTTTGCTCTGGTGTTGTGGGTAAGGGGCCTTCTTGTTGCAATAGTATGTAAGTTTTTTCATTTGGGAATGTTGTAACAAGAGTTTGTTTGGTATTATATTGCTATTTGCTTTGGCATGCTAATGTCCCAGTTAGTATTGCTGTATGACCTTGTAACGGAGTAACATTGTGATATGGGATGACTTGCAGTATTTCATGAGCTTTGATCATTTCTGGGGTAGGTAGACAGCTCCATGTGTTTACTTTATGTATTTTTATTGGTTTTTCAGTGTGAACTGACCAAGATGATCCAGGACATAGTTTTGTTGTAAATGCATATTTGAAGTACTGGTTTGAGTCTTATTTAATTTTGTATTGTTTATTGTTATTAAATAACTCCACAAATCCTGTACAGGGGCTTTAGCACCCATAGGATATAGAGCTCGTCAAACTGATACAATCTCATACAAAACATAAAAAGATACATGGTGTAACATTAAATCAAGCCATATCATAACAACATAGATTCATACACTGTTAGAAATACAACCTTTTACTTCTTACTACTCCAAGTTCATTCATCACAATCATTAAACATTAATCATAAAACAATATCACATAATACTAAGTAATAAACATAATTAAAATTAAAAAATATAACATACAGTTAATCCCATTTACATCAAATCAGTATTTGCAAATTATTTTGATTAAAAAACTCCTCTAATGAATAAAATGACCATGAGCAAAGATATCTCTTTAATGCTGGTTTAAACAATTCAATTTTATATGATAATGATTTTATATTTATAGGAAGATGGTTAAATATCCTCATTCCAATAGCATATGTCCCTTCATTATATATTGTTAATCTAGCAGATGGAAAATGAAGGTCAGTATTGTGCCTAGTATTTAGACCATGAATTTCTTGATTAGTTTTATAAAGATGCTTATTTCTCACAACGAATATCATCAAAGAAAATATAAAGAAAGCAGTCTTCTGGGATTTGGCGCTGTGTATATGTGAAATCCCAGAAGACTGCTTTCTTCATAGTCACCGCCATGAAAGCCTCAAATCTTACAAAGAAAATATATATTGAGAATAAAATGGTAAAATTTCCCAATCTTTAAAAAGTTGTCTACAAGAGTCTCTACATCTAGTCTTAGTCATAATATGGAGTATTCGTTTTTGCATCTTAAAAACACTAAGACTATGTGGTGAATTACCCCATAATAAAATACCATAAGATAATAATGAATGTACATTTGCAAAATATATCATTCTTAGAGTATTCTCCGTCATAAGGGGCGTGACAATCCTGATAGCATAACAAGCGGAACTTAACTTTTTTAAAACATGTTCAATGTGCCCCTTCCATGACAACTTTTCATCAATAATCAATCCTAGAAACTTGATATTAGTAAGATCAGTGATATGCTTATCTGCAAAAGTAATGTTTAAATCAAGCTTCTGACTATTTTTAGTCCGAAATTGTAAAAGATGTGTTTTGTCAAAATTTAAATACATCAAATTACTCCTAAACCACTTATTTAAGTCATCAAGAGCGGTATTTATCTCCGTCAAAAAGTGTACAGAATTAGAACCAGTTACAATCATACTGGTGTCATCAGCATACAGCACTAATGTATTATTTTTAGAACCCGTCAAAGGCAGATCATTAATAAATAAAAGAAAAAATAGAGGGCCCAAGATAGATCCCTGCAGCACCCCGTGTTTGACTATCTCCCATTCAGAGTAACTATTTCTAGAATTACTTTGAATTATCACCCTCTGGTATCTCTCTGTAAGGTAAGATTTGATCAAGGCATTGTATTTCCCTACAATGCCATAGTATTCAAGTTTATTCAAGTTTATTATTATTGTTATTGTATACCTTGAATTTTAGTTGAACTAAGTTTAACTTTATTCATTCTGGTCTGTCACACTAGTAAATTATTGTAGAATAATTGATAACATTGTCCAGTGTGATTCAATTTGTAGATATTTAATGCCTTTACATGTTTCGGTCAGCTGTAACCATTCTCAGTAGGCATAAAATCAACATGTTTAAGAACTACTATTACAAAGTTTGTAATACATATTTAGAAGCTCTTATATAAAAAAATTATTTACAATTATTTAGATTAAAAATTTTATTAATGTCTAATATTTAAGATCTTGAACCGATGTGGTTTGTGCCCTTGTACCTCTTCCATTAAAATGGAATGTTGAGGTATTATTTGGCATCCTCAGAGGTCCATGCAGTGATGCCCATTTTATAGCTTGTTAAGATTCTGTGTTGTGATGTCAAGTTGTTTCCCCTTTGGCTGTGTTTTGAGGCACTGCTTCTTGGTCTCTTGATATTAAGGGAAGAACATAGACTGAAGGTGTTTGAGAACAAGATGTTGGAGAAAACTGCATAATTAGGAGCTTCATATCTTGCACGCTTTGCCAAGTATAATTAGAATGATCAAGTTAAGGAGGATGAGATGGGCAGGGCATGTAGCATGAATGGGGGAGAAGAGGAATGCATATGGGATATTGGTGGGAAAGCTAGAACAAAAGGGACCACTAGGGAGACAAGGACATAGATGGATGGACAATATTAAAATGGATCTTAGAAGACAGGATGGGATGGCATGGACTGGATGGATCTGGCTCAGGATAGGGACCAGTGGAGTGCTCTTGTGAACACTGTAATGAACCTTCAGGTTCCATAAAATGTTGGGAAGTTTTGGAGTAGCTAAACAATTGTGTGGCTTCTCAGGAAGGGCTCAGCTCCATGAGTGAATGAGTGAATGTACCAAAAAAAAAAGTGAATTCTGTGGGAGTTCCCTTATATTTATAACTTGAAACTGTTGGTTGTTGAAGGATCTTCTTATAATAATTTTTCTACTCATGATTAATTTAATTTTAGAGCTGAACTGAACAATTGGATTTGAGGTTGTCAAAGCAGTGAATATGAAGTGTGCTATCTTCTGGGATGTGACACTGTGCAGTCTTGTATGTGTTCACTGATGATCCTCAGAAGCATTGCTGAACTTCTGCAGTGCCATACAGCATCACACTATGGAAGATAGTACACTTCTGAAACCACAAAATAATGCATGAATGTTCTTCTGGATTGTGTATACAGTTTAATGCCTTTATGTTTTATAGGTTCTACAGTCACTATACTTAGTTGCTCGCTTACAGAAGAGGGCCACCCTATTGTTTCTCTGTCAACGGGGAAAGCGTACATGTTTTCAGCAGAACTTGGCAACTGGTATGTTTAAACAAATTGTGCAAAACTTGCAAGGTTATATGTGACAAATGTAACATAATGTGAATTTGTACTAGTGGAACTTATGCACAGAAATGTATCATTAAATACAATAATTTAGGCATATGTGAGTCTCGAATTTTCAACATTGAATCAAGGGTGAAAATTACATTGATTTCCATTATAAAACTTTAGGAGTTTCTATATAACAGCTTTAGTTTATGCAGCTGCATGCAAACTTCCTGGTCCCTCAGAATTATAATAGTTTGAAAAACAAATTCACATCAGCTTTGATGAAGTTCATTTTCTTGATATATTGCCAATTTTAGAACATGATGCAAATTGCCATCAAAGATTATGTAGTTTATTTCCTTGTATTGATTACATGTTTCAGTTACATGAGACTATCTTCAGGGGGTGTACAATATTAGAGAGAAATAACTTTGCGATTCGTATGTTGTTGTGTAGGCTGGCACACATGACGAAATTATGGGTTCTAGTTCAGATGATTGGATTTATTAGCAGTTTGGTTACAACCTCTCTCTCTCTCTTTTTTTTTTTCTTGGCACTACAGCCTCAGTGGGCCTAGGCCTACCTCCATGAACTTCTCTGTTCACTTCGATTTTTCTAGATCTTAGACATATGGTAGGACTCCTTGGGTGGATGATCAGCGCGTCACAAGGCCTCTACCTGTACACAAACACAGAAAAACGCACACAAACATCCATGCCCTGAGTGGGATTCGAACCCATGATCCCGGCTTCTGAGCGAGTGAAGACTGTGCACGCCTTAGACCGCTCGGCTACCGTGACCGGCACAACCTCTCTTAATCATACTTAATTACAGCACTATTGCTGATTTACATACACTTCATAATTCACTGTGAGACACACACTACAGATCTCAACACAGAAACTATAGCAATCTCACTGGATGACACACTCCAAGTATTACACATAAACACAGTCTTCAAATCACATGATAAACTTCCCGTGGCCGTCACTTAAAATTCTCTCGCTGTTACTTAAACACCCCAATGCTTAAACACTGAAACACTCTGAAATACTCTGAAATACAAGGTGGTTCAAATATGACCGGGACTGATTTTTTTGTAAACAAGCCGCACTGCGCAGCAGCTGTGCGACCTTGAGAGATTGACGCCACAACCTCCACCCTCCCTCCTGTCAGGGTTAGAACCTGTTAGGTCCTGTCTGGAAGTTGCTAGAGTGATGAGAGAATAGAAGGTACCGTGGAGTGTGGAACAACACATTGTGATCAAATTCCTCATTGGAGAAAACGTCCAGTCCACTGAAATTCACCACAGACTCCAACAACAATATGGGGAAGAGTGTCTCTCATGGACCCATGTGTTTGAGTGGTGTAAGTGCTTCAGAGAGGGCAGAGAGCGTGTGGAGAATGAACCGCATGATCATCAGCCGCGAACATCCATCACCGAGCCAAACATTGATCGTGCAGACATGCTTATTCGTGAGAATAGGCTCATCACTATCAAGGAACTTGGAGTAAGATCCGATCCAAGCGGAAGACAGGTGGAAAGCGGGTAGCCTTCCTTCAAGACAATGCATGCCCCCATACGGCCAAAGCAACAATGGAAACCCTCCAGAAATTGAAATAGATCCTTCTGACACATCTGCCATACAGTCCCGATTTGGCCACAAGTGATTTCTACCTGTTTGGAAGACTCAAATCAGACTTGCAAGGTATGTGGTTTGCGGACAATGACGCCGTCATCCAGACTGTTCGGGAGTGGATACGCCACCAACCAAAAGTCTTTTTTTTTGGGGGGGCATCAGGATGCTTCCAGAAAGTTGGAAAAAATGTGTTGACTCCGGAGGGGAGTACGTTGAAGATTGACATGTGCAAGTAAGTGTTTGGCAATTATGTTTTTTTTTTTAAACCAGTCCCAGTCATATTTGAACCACCTAGTACTCTGAAATACCCTGAAACAACAAAATCTCTTCTGTCTCTAACTGTCTCATGATATAGCCTCCGCACTGTTGTAGAGAAGTGCTTATCGCAACATTGCATAGCAGCGAGCGTGGTGCAGCTCAGCTCGGCATGGCATGACATGGAGAAAACACCACTTTCCTTATTGTTGTACAATCACAGCACCCACGGACCTCCGCAGCTCAACAGCTCTTGCATGGCATAAATACACCATATTATATAACAACAGATTTTAATATTCATGTTATAAATTTATTCTAACAGGTTAAAACTAATATTATGTTAAAATTCACACATATATAGGCCTTAGCTATCNTCTTGAAAAAATAAGATTTACAGCCACAAAATTTGCTTACACACATACACACATATTTTTAAACTGTTAGGAATATTTTTTACATATAAGGCAAATTTTGTCTATGAAGTTAATTTTGTGTTCAGTATGGAAGATAGACTGAGATGGAAATCATTGTTCAGAAATTTTTAATATTTTTATTTTATATATATCCCTCTGTTTTTCAGTTGTCATCCCCCCCCAAAAAATTTTTTTTAAAGTGTGTGCAGATGCTTGGCTTTCCATCCTGACAGCTGTGGAAATTGATAACTACCATCTTTATGCTGAATGGAGAATGAAAAATATTTGCTAAGTGCCTAGTTTAAATAATTATTTTTGTATTCGGAGTGTGTGACAGTGCTGGATGTATATTTACTTATTAGGCTGGTGTTGGCAAATAGCAGAGATCCAGTACAACGTTGCTCACTTCATCGTGCCTTTGTCACTACACTTCCTACCAGTGAGAACACACGAGGACTGCCACTGGCATGCCTGCAGTCTCATGTAATAAGGTAAATGTAAGAGTAGTACACAGTGATTGAAAAGGCCTGCAAGTCATACTATTGATTTTCTTGGACTCAACTGTTTCAGCTGAAGGCCATGTAGTAAACAATGTGTTGAACTGTTTCAGTGTTATTGCATGTATATATTTGTGTAAATGTTCTGCGGATTGGACTTCTTGCATGAAAAGCAAACTACGATATTGCTTGTATGACTTTTCGATCACCCTGATGGAGGAAGGTTTAAAATTTGGGTTGGAAAGTAGATTTGTGTCAGCAATAAATGATTGTGAGGGCCAGTGAGGTACAAAGAATTGCAAAGAACTATATTTGAAAAATTGCGCAGTGGAATTTGTCTTTCCACTCTTCTTTCATGAATAAGAGGGTTTCAGTTGATGGGGATTTTCTTTTGCTTGCAGTGGTGGGAATTTACTGGGACAGGGATCATCAGTCAGTGCTCTCTGCACAGTCACTTTCCTGGAGCAGCAGCTTGCTGCCTGTCGTGCTCTTAACTCAAAGCAAGAATATCACAGTTGGCTTCTGGCACTTGCACGTTTTCTTGTACAAGAAGGTGAGTTCATACTTGTAATCTTCGGGAGTAGTTGTTTTACTTCTCTTGTTATGTTAATTGAAAAAACAAATTTAATCTCTCACATTAAGGGAAGATTGCAGATTGATTGTGTTTGAGAATAAGGTGCAGAAGAATATTTAGGATTAGAAAGAACTAATCACAGATTGGATAAAATTGTTTAGTGAGGAGCTGCATAATTTGTTCTCTTCACAGTATTTTGTCAGGGTGATTGAAGGAAGGAAGATGAGATGAATTTGGCCTGTAGCATGAATGAGAGGTGAGAAATTCATTTAAAATATAAGTTGAGAAATCTGTGGATAGGTGGTCATTTGGAAGATCTGGACATGCATGGGAAGACAGTATTAAAATGGAGCTGAAGGAAATAGGTATGAGAGTGTGAACTGAATTCATTTGGCTCAGGATGGGGACAGTCGTGCTCTCTTTTAAACACAGTAATGAACTTTAGGGTTCTGTAGAAGATGGTAATTTATTGACTAGTGTAGTGACTTCTGATTTTTCATGAAGGACCATCCCATTGAGTTACTTTGTGGTAACAGTGTATAAAAGTCTTTTGTCAAATGTTATAAGATGTGTTCTAGTGTTGAGCTGCAAAGCTAGATAAGTAGCCCAGAGCTTGACTGTGAAATAAGAAGAATTTGCAGGCCATGAATTAACTGTTGGTTTGTTCTACCTCTGAAGTTTAGGTATTTATAATAGTTTTACTACATTGAAAGTCTGACAAGCTGGGCTCAGAATTAATTCCACAGAGAATTTTAAGCTCCATACAACACTTTTTAATACAAATATGTTTATACAGGCAATTATAGCAGCATTTTCAGTTGTTTATTGCCTGCTACTGTGATATTATTTACAGTAGACTCCTGATTATCTGGGGTGGATGGGAAGTGAATTTCCCTGGATAATCAGAAATCCTGTGTAATCAGTAAAAATAATGTGTCACCAACTTGTAACTTATGTGTGAAGTGGAATTTATAAAAGGACACGTAGATTTATAAGTATAATTTATTCAAATGATATTGCTAGAAACGTGAATGTGGTTTTGGAAAAGCTGTGCAATTACTATACAGTGAAAAGACAAACAAACAAAGAAAACCATCCCAAGTTTCTGAGTACATACTCTAACATGAAATTAAACTTCCATTGTTTCATACTTGTTCCTTTTTAAAAAGCAATTTAACATGAAATTTATCTTTTGACATTGGACATACCACTCAGTTTTCTGAACGAAGCCCCTTGATTATCTCTGACACAGTTAATGGTTTCCCACCATCCCATTAATCAGGAGTGTACTGCATATTTATAATAGCTGTACCAAAATTTGGCTGTTAGAATGGATAGGAGCACATACTGCAGCAACAGCCTGAATTCAGTAAATATTTGTCTTTTCCTTTCTTATACTACTTTGTAATACTTGTTATATTCGTTTGGGTTCTGGATATTAAAGGTTGACGTTTGAAGTATGCTTTGGTATTTTTATCTTTCAAGAGCAGGGCACTATGAATGCTGTTAAATGATTTGTAATGTATTCCATTTGTAGGTTAATGACCTAGTGGTCTTGTAGCAGGATTCCTGGATCATTTGTCAGAGATTTTGGGTTTTGGAAAACCCATGTCATTGCAGATTTTTCCATGCTCTTTCCTCAATCCAAACCTCATGCAAAGTCAAAACTCTGTAAATCTGTGGAATACCAGGCCCCTACAGCAGTTTGAAGTCCACATCAAGTTTTTGATTACCATCAGTATTGTCACCCTGTTGGGAATAAATACCCTTTTGATGTACTTGCCTGTTTCTTGGAAATTGTATCCTTTGCCTGAACATGCAGAGCCAGAAAGGTTAAAAGACCGTGGTCAAAAACCTTAGAAACAAAGAATAATACATTTCTAGTGTTGGTAGTCAACACAGCATATACTTAAATTGTGGAAATGAGCTATTTATAATTGTTTATGTGTTGCAGGTTTGGAGACCCGGTTACGGTTAATCTGTGATGACCTCCTGGGGCCAACTCATAGTCGAGCAAAAAACAGCAAATCATGGGAAACTTCTTTGATGGTATAATTCATGAGGAAATACATATATCTCATATTAAAGTGTTTGAATTTGGGTGTATACATGTTGGAATCATCATTATTGTCTTACACTGATGTTTCCACCTAGATGGATTATCCTAGACAGCATTTTTTATTTTTCTGTGTCTAGACATAAGTGTTCTTTTCGTATCTGTGTCCACACTTTGTTTCTTGTTTGTCTTGTCTTACTTGGTCATCTCAGAGGTTGTGCATGCGGTGTGTTTGCTTTTGATACTTTATGGGTAATCTTGTAATTCATTTATCCTACATAGTCATACTGTTGTATCTTTAATTTAATCAGATTTTCTAGAAGTGTTACTGCTTTTAGATACTGCCCAGCGCCCATTAGAACTTGGGACGTGAAGCTGACCACGCACCTCCGGTTAGTGCCAAGGTCAAGAAAATATGGATCTATACATCCACTCCCCCATATGCCTTCATGGTGTAGTGCGTAATTTGTTGAGTGCAGGGAAAACTTTTTACCTTACCCATTAGAACTTTGAGGGAAATTAAGATAAAAATAGTTCTGCTGCAACATACTTCCAAGCAAGAAACTGTTTCTTTCTTATTTTGAATTTACTTTTTACAACCCATGTGCATTCACTGTTAGCTGGCACAAGTGAGCACAGATAGGTATCATATGGTTCCAAAAAATGACAGTTCACATAGAGTCATGTACTAGGTTAGAATGTGTGGTATTTTATTTTTGGTATCTGAAAGCAAGAAACCAGCAGATAATTATTACAGAATGAAGGCAGTAATGTGCTTATGTGAAGGTCATGTATGTTAGTGGGTGCAGAAGTTTAAAGACAGTTTATAAGAGTTACATAATGCTTAACAGCCAGAGCAAACACACTTTATCATCACACCTGTCAGGACTGCACAAATGGAATGCCTAATTTTGGAAAATCACCAAGTGGCATTGGTAAACTGACTATGCTTTTGCAAATGGGTGTTGGTTGAGCCATAATCTGGCAAGTATGTTCCAGGGATTCAATAAAGGGTGACTGTTGGCACCATATCAGTTGCCTCATGAAATGAAGCAGATATGTTTTGACATGATATACATATTGATTGGGATCACTGAGGTTAGCTCTTTCTAAAGTACCCAACAGAGTCGGTGTCTCCCCACTCACCTGAGGATGGAAATCCAATTTTTGAATCATCGTTTTTCTTTAAAATAGCAGAGGATGGGCAGAATCAAAGAGTCCAATAATCCCAAGTGTTATCACCCTTCACAACCCTTCAGAATCTATGTACAACTTACTTGTGAAGCTAAGTTCTCCCACAGCTAAATTAAGATGATTTTTGTTAGTTTGTTATGGTACTTCTTTTTTGAAGAAATGGAAGTGTGGGGTTGCAGGCATGTAGTACAGACTTGCAGCACCCATGTAAAAACACCAATGAATTTATAGGAGATACAAAGAAAATTCATATTAGGGCTGGGAAGAATTTCAACAAGAAACCTGCTTCTTGATCTTGAATGTAGCTGGTAACCACATGTGGCTGAACTTGATAATTGTTGACTCAGTTGAAGTGGTAGTCACAGAAAATCATGATTTATTTTAATTTCTGGTGACATTCTGTAAAAAAACATCACTTTATTTGTTTCTTGATTATAAATTCCAAATAAAATGAAAAATTATGAGTGCCTCAGAAAATGACTGCCACCATTCAGTTTAGAATATTTTATGTTCCAGTTTACTTTCTACAGTCTTAAGTATTTTTCATAGATAAGCTCTTTGGCCTGTTCCAATTCCTGAAGAATAAAATATGTAAAAGTAATTTTATATTTCATTTTGTATATGCAAGACACTTTGTCTTTCACTGTGAGGGATGCAGAAATTGAGGAAGAAGATGCTGAGAATATATATGGTTATAAAAAGAGGTTTGTTAGAAGAAGAATGAAGAAAATTTCATGATATCTCAAAGAACTGAACAGTTAATTTGATTTTGTTGAATGTATAAAACAGGTGCTTACAAAATTTTGTTTATATGGTTTCATGGGAAGAAACTACTTGGGAGATCTTAATGTAGATGGGGAATTACATTAAAGTGGGTATTAAAGAGATAAACGGAATTGAATTATGTTATATTTTAGTGTCCTGTTGCACTGATTTATGTCCATGATTTATTCTGACCGTCTTACAGTGCATACATTTATTCACCTTACTCTTCTCTCTTGCACTACATGTTTCAGCACCATCTTCAGGTGCTTTTCGATGTACGTCGAAAAGCACCTGAAGATGGTGCTGAAACATGTAGTGCAAGAGAGAAGAGTAAGGTGAATAAATGTATGCACTGTAAGACGGTCAGAATAAATCATGGACATGAATTGAATTAGCTGAGGATGAGATCCAGTGGTGTGTTTTAAAGAAGGTAACAGTAAACCTGTGGGTTCTATAATAACAGGGATTTTCATAATCATCTGAGTAATTATGAGCTTCTTAAAAAAGACCCTATGCCATGGACTCCAAGAAGATGGAACTTTCCAACTACATAAACTTCAGACTGTGGTTAAACTTTACTTGTAAGGACACTGTAAATGTGCATCAGTCCACTCCTATGTGTAGGTACACATTAAATTTTGTATATAAAAGATATTACATCTTTTCCTCAGGTCTACACTGAAATTTTCTCTCAGAAAAGAAATGCAATATTGAGCAATGAATCCAGCCACTCTTGTACTAAATTTCATGTATAATTTTCTTTTACAGGGTTTCTCAAAGCATGCACTTCTGCGAGAGGTTCTGCCTTTGATTGGCTCCAATTTGCGTCTTCAGAGGATCTACACTGAATACAGTGATCAGTTGGCCATGCTGTCAGAAGAAAAATAACTCGTGAAGTTGAACAATAGTTAATCTGAAAGTCTTGTTCTTGTGATTTACCTCAGTGGTATGTTACTCTTCATAACAAGTGATGAAAATTATTGCTAAATAAGTAGCTCAAAAACTGACAGGAAACTACAAATTATATAATTTAGTACAAAGTTGCAATGCAATTATGCATCGGGCTGTTTGGAGACTGTCTTGAATATCCACATGACAGTGGTATGACCAGCTTAATCGATTCTTAACTGTTGCACTTAAATAGTACAGTTCATCTTACAAATTTAGATTAGCAGAGCTGTCGTGGAGGACTGTGTTTTACTGTGGCATGTAAAAAGATGTATTTGTAAGACATTGCAGTAGATTTTGGTATCTGTGCATGTGAACTTAATAGTAGTACAAACCTCTTCTTGTCTTTCATTGTTAATAATGCATTAGAGCAATGGTTCCCAAACCCTTGGGGGTTTGTGATATATTGGAAGGAATATGCCAAAACTGAGTTATGAACGATTTTGGTATATCAATATCATTTTAATGCAAAATAGCAAAAGTAACATTACTGATTTGAGGCCTTCAAAGTGGTTAATTATTGACACAAATTTTGTTCTTGGGCTGTGCTGTGTGATAGTGGATGATGTTGCTGACATATCAGAGGTCCAGATTGCCTCCAACTTCTGGTCAAAATGTGTAGGTTGGTTAGTTGCTTTGTATCTTATAGCAAGGAATGGTGGAACTGGCCCGGACAAAGCATTGTTTCCCACTCTATCCCCTCTTCCACCCTTCCTTCTCAGTACAACTGAATGCTGTACCTGTATGTATATAAACAGCAATTCATGAACCTACAGGCCTCATCCCTGAGAAAGATGGAGGAAGCATTTGCCTACACAACATCAGCAACAACACCCAGAATCATGTAGTGTAACAACCCAAGAATAGAATTATCATCAAATGTAACATTTGTACATGGTGCCTCCATTGATGGAGGGGGGGGGGGGTTAGTTTGTTCCTACGGATAACATTTATCACCCAAGATTTATTTTTAAGTGGTAAATATGAAAAGGTAGGGCTGTACTGAGGCAGATTTTGGATCTTTTCTGATGCATAAACACACATGACACCACAAGGCTGATGCTACAACAGGACAGTTATTGCTGTATTGACCTTCAAGGTGGGACAGTTGACTGGATTGTGGGTGAGGTGAGTTGATGAGGCTCCCATTGACTAATTTTCAACAGTTTTGAATCAGAGTAGGTTGAATTGATGGTCTATTTCGCTACCACAGGATGTGAAACCAATGTACTGTTATTCAGTATAGTTAAATCTCTTCTGCTCTTCTGGCGAGACTTTTCATTATTATACATGAAGTTATCATTATTTGTTTTGCATTTTGCTGAGTATACACTCTGCTTGTACTGTAAGTTAGCCAGTCTTGTTACAGTATTTGTAACTATACTTTCCCTACGTAAAATTTTGCATAGGCATTATTCAGCTTATCAGAGAGATCTAATTGTTCAGTGTATCATAGTTCTTGTTAGTCTTGTCTGTTGTTGTTTCATATTATTTATTTATTCATGTAAGGTAAAGCTCTCCCTCTACTTAACTAATTAAGCATTACACCATGAAGGCATATGGGGGAGTGGATGTATAGATCCACATTTTCTTGACCTCGGCACTAGCTGGAGGTGAGTGGTCAGCTTCATGCCCCGGCCGCTTTACCCCCGGGGAAATAGCCCCCAGTACCCATTGGATAGGAGGTTGGGTGGACCCCAAAGAAAGTCTGGATGACATGAAGAATTGTAAATTCTTGATCCTACCGGGATTCAAACTCCAACCCCTTGGTCGTCCAGCCATTAGCCAGTTGCTGTACAGACTGCACTATCCTGGCTCACATTTATTTGTGTAGAAATCTTATTTTATAAAGAAATTAGTCACATTTCCTCATAGTATTATAAAGTAGCATGCAGGAATTTTCAAGAGTAGATATGTAATCTTTCAGTGTGTCCCTGATGTCGTCCCATTTTTATTATTAAAGAAAAAATTCTGCATCTCTGTACAGTCATGNTTGAGGCCTTCAAAGTGGTTAATTATTGACACAAATTTTGTTCTTGGGCTGTGCTGTGTGATAGTGGATGATGTTGCTGACATATCAGAGGTCCAGATTGCCTCCAACTTCTGGTCAAAATGTGTAGGTTGGTTAGTTGCTTTGTATCTTATAGCAAGGAATGGTGGAACTGGCCCGGACAAAGCATTGTTTCCCACTCTATCCCCTCTTCCACCCTTCCTTCTCAGTACAACTGAATGCTGTACCTGTATGTATATAAACAGCAATTCATGAACCTACAGGCCTCATCCCTGAGAAAGATGGAGGAAGCATTTGCCTACACAACATCAGCAACAACACCCAGAATCATGTAGTGTAACAACCCAAGAATAGAATTATCATCAAATGTAACATTTGTACATGGTGCCTCCATTGATGGAGGGGGGGGGGGGTTAGTTTGTTCCTACGGATAACATTTATCACCCAAGATTTATTTTTAAGTGGTAAATATGAAAAGGTAGGGCTGTACTGAGGCAGATTTTGGATCTTTTCTGATGCATAAACACACATGACACCACAAGGCTGATGCTACAACAGGACAGTTATTGCTGTATTGACCTTCAAGGTGGGACAGTTGACTGGATTGTGGGTGAGGTGAGTTGATGAGGCTCCCATTGACTAATTTTCAACAGTTTTGAATCAGAGTAGGTTGAATTGATGGTCTATTTCGCTACCACAGGATGTGAAACCAATGTACTGTTATTCAGTATAGTTAAATCTCTTCTGCTCTTCTGGCGAGACTTTTCATTATTATACATGAAGTTATCATTATTTGTTTTGCATTTTGCTGAGTATACACTCTGCTTGTACTGTAAGTTAGCCAGTCTTGTTACAGTATTTGTAACTATACTTTCCCTACGTAAAATTTTGCATAGGCATTATTCAGCTTATCAGAGAGATCTAATTGTTCAGTGTATCATAGTTCTTGTTAGTCTTGTCTGTTGTTGTTTCATATTATTTATTTATTCATGTAAGGTAAAGCTCTCCCTCTACTTAACTAATTAAGCATTACACCATGAAGGCATATGGGGGAGTGGATGTATAGATCCACATTTTCTTGACCTCGGCACTAGCTGGAGGTGAGTGGTCAGCTTCATGCCCCGGCCGCTTTACCCCCGGGGAAATAGCCCCCAGTACCCATTGGATAGGAGGTTGGGTGGACCCCAAAGAAAGTCTGGATGACATGAAGAATTGTAAATTCTTGACCCCACCGGGATTCAAACTCCAACCCCTTGGTCGTCCAGCCATTAGCCAGTTGCTGTACAGACTGCACTATCCTGGCTCACATTTATTTGTGTAGAAATCTTATTTTGTAAAGAAATTAGTCACATTTCCTCATAGTATTATAAAGTAGCATGCAGGAATTTTCAAGAGTAGATATGTAATCTTTCAGTGTGTCCCTGATGTTGTCCCATTTTTATTATTAAAGAAAAAATTCTGCATCTCTGTACAGTCATGTTAGAAAGTCTTGAGCACCTGTTACAATGTTAGATGTGTCTAAATATTGGTTTTACTTCTGTGTTTATTAATCCCTGCAACCAGCAGTTAGGCCCTTAAATGAAGAAGAGCAGGATGACAGTAATTTGTGTGGAATCTGTATCATATGAGGTGCTTCTTATATCCTCGGTCTGTTGAGATCTCCAACAGAAGGATGGATGCCACAGGAATTACAAAGATGTGTTTTCATAGTTATCTTGGCTTCTGCTCACAGTACTGTTGTCACCTGACATTGCTGTGTCTTGATCAATCTCAATTTTTCCTGTCATGTGAGATTGCTTCATCAGAAACATTTTCCAAAAAGTGCTCCTCTTCAGTGTCTTTTTAATCCTCAGAACTTGTGCCATTATTACAAGGAGAGGGTATATTCTGTTGAGATTAATACTATTCCACTCTTGCCCACTACCATAAAAAGGTTAGGCAGTTCATTGTTCCCGAACCTCTAACATCTGTTGGAGGAGGGAACTTCTGTTGTTATCCATCATTTTGCTGCTGCCACAATGCTTGGAACTCTGGCAGGCCAGTGTCAGATTCTTTTGATGCGGTCACTATCCCCTCACCCCCACGTCCTTTTCAGCATCAAAAAAAGTGAGAAAATTAATTTCTTTTGACACTTCCTCATTAGCATGTTAGGAGGACATTGTATGTGGAACTTTTTATGAAGGTGTTTTCCCCTCATCCCCTGCACTCCTCTCATCTACAGACATGATAGAAAAGTTATTTATTTTTGTCTCCATTCTGTTATTAACATGTCACTCTCTAAGAGGTTACAGAACATAAACGAATAGTAATGGTGAATGGTGTGTTAACAGAATGGTCGCAGGACAAACTGTGGCAGGAGCCTGATCATTTCAGGCTTGAAATGATCTACTTAGTTTTGATGCATATAAATAATTTTCATCAGGAAAGCATAACAGAGATATATATAGAGAAATGAGAAAAAATTACAATAACTTCTGTGGGCCGTCTCAAAATTAGGAGGTATTTTAGTGGCATAATAATCAGACCCAAGACCAACTGAACACTCAAAAAATGATTGATGTGTGGATGATAAAGGATAAACAACCTTCCTTTTCTTTTATAAGGAATATGTAAATGTTCTCTTCATGTCTTGGTTGTGATTTATTTTAAGAGTGCCAGGTATCAGGATGCAGCAGCATTAAACAGGTTTAATGGCACTCAGGGATGGGTTGACCACAACTGTGGCAGTTGGCAGGATGGGCATTAGCAGATAGAGATTGTGGTGGACCATTTGTAACTTTGCTGTGAAATAAGTATGATCTTCACATTACCTGCCACTGTTATTGTAATTTTAGTGCACATGAATTGTAATACATATCATATCTCCTTTTGTTTTGATTTTCAGAATGACTGAATAATTGGCACACAATTAAATGCTTGCTTCTTCTCAGTTACTGGCCCATTCTCTGATCAAATATATAGTGTACCTTCTGATTTCTGATTAATTAATTTGGCTCTAAGTCATTACTGGACTAAATATTAATCACTAATTTCTCCGCTGTCTTTCAGAATTAGTAGCAGCTGACTTCTGAGTATCTACCTTTTCAATCAATCAACTGTGTTCCCTGAATGTGTTTCTCGTCTGCTGAAGCAACATATTAGAAAACCTATGAGAATTCCTCCCCATTACCAAAAGAATATATTATTCTTGGGGATTGGTTATGGAGGCCCTGTACTGGGCATAGAACTTAATTTAATACATATTTAGCTGTGATTAGTACAGGTAAAGGAATTTTTGTAGTGTTGTAGGCATGTCAGTCAACAACTGTTATCAGGCCTGAGCAGCTGGGACTGTACACCTGCAGAAGGTTCTACACCATCACAAGATCTGACCCACTTATCTTCACAATTTATCTGGAACCTAAAGCCCTTACCTGGAGATAATTATATTTTATGGCTGGGGAAATGTCAGCATTTAAAATTATTTTCATC